TTAGTCCACTCTGCCTTTCTGAAGTTGTATCTTCGTTTAAATCGAACTTCCTGAGGCCTTATTGTTGGGAACAGTTGGCAACCAGAGTTAACACATTACAACCGCCTGTGTGTGAACGTCATTGGTATTTTAAACCTTCTGAGGAAAATAAACACCATAGTAACACAGAAGGGTGTTACTAAGTATCTGCTCCACACATATAACTCAGCCTGAATACTAAGCAATAAGGTGGCAGCGTACCCCAGTTGAAGAAAAAGTTACAAAACCTCTCAGTTCAGACGTCATTCAAGTATATACACAGTTATATTTTTCCCTGTCTGATAAATTCAAATATTTTATAAGCTTCTCTACTACTCGACCTTCCTTCTTCCCTTAATGTGATATATCTTTATAATTGGTGGCAGCGCGGTGTGATCCTTCCTGAAATAATCCTTATATCATGCTACAGATTGAACAGTCCAAATAGATGATATTCTTCCAACAGAACTTTTACTAATTTAATATCAAAGGCTTTCATGGCTGGAATCACTGGGTTGCTGTAGGTTTTTCGGGCTGTCTGGCCATGTTCTGAGGATGCCTGCCATAGATGCAGGTGAAACGCCAGGAGAGAATGCTTCTAGAACATGGCCATAGAGCCCAAAAAACCTACAACAACCCAGAACTTTGACTGTCCAATCTAAAGTTGTTCGCAAAGCTTTTATTGAACTGAAGAATGTCCTTTGTTTGAAGGGTGTAAAAGTACATCAAATTTTCTAGTCTCCAGTGAGATAAGGTGTCTTAATGCAATGAGATTTCCCATCAAGAAAGCGCTCATTAGTTGATTTTTAACATTTCGGGGCTTCTTTGCAAAAAATATCATTGGTGCAAACCCCCTTGGTGCAACCCCATTCAAAAAGCAAAAAGAAGCCATATTTATTTCTGTGCAGAAAACAGTGTGCACCCCTCACTATTTTCTTCAGATTTTTTTCTCCTATTAAAAAGGTCATTAAAATGCAGCTCCCTTAATCTTTATCCATTATAAGAATAATGAAAAAAATATTAATTCTTGCCTGCAAGAATGAAGTAAGTAATATTTTACATCTCTGGTTCTGCTGTACAAGTATTTTGTCCACAGCCAGTAGGAAGGTAGATTCTGGTGTCGGAATCAGTTTCCTCCACACAGCAATACCCATAGAAGTAAATTGGTGATGCTTATCTGGATGTGAAGATATCACTTTCCTCTCCCTTGCATTAGCATTCTGTGTACCAAAGGATTTTGATCTGGGGCTAACTTGCAACAAAGGTTCTCCATAGCACATTCTCATACTCTTCAGAATTGCACAGGTGAAAACTGGGACATATGTCACCAAGAATACAGTCATGAAGACAGAAATTATGAATGAGGAAGCATGCAAGCTAGGAAATGCTGTTTGTCTATTTATGCTTATATCTAAAGTGAAAGACTACGGTAATTAAATGCATACTACTTTTGAACTCTGAAACTGTATTGCAGCAATGGAAGTAAGTTTGGAACCTAAGGGGGAAAGGGAAGGGGAGAGGGGAACTGGAACCTTTAAAAGCAGATGAAAAGAAATAAGATAACAGAGAATTAATCAGAACCATCCCAACAAAATTCAGACAGTTGGAAATTGTGCATGCTCCATGTTTTTCAGGATACAGACTGAACCACTTGCTAGACCATTTGTTTGGACTGCATGCCTCTCCATGTGGAAATGATGTGTGCCAGTTTACTACCTCTCTTTGCCTTGTCTTTCCAATATGTAGTTTTTGAAACTGCGGCAACCAGAGCAGATCTTGGTATTGAATTTGCAGTTTGCACAGCTGCAAATCAGTACAGTGATGTTATATTTGCCGTAATTTTTCTTCCCTAATAGTCTGTCACATTGCATTTGCCCTCTTGACCTCTACAGCATATTGAGCTGATGATTTCAGTGAACTATCCAAAAGCCATCCAGATTTTGTCCTTTGGTGTTTTATTGCTACCAACCCACATAAAGGGCTTCTCCTTTCTTTTCTTTCTTTTTTTAAAAAAAAAACACCTTCTCACCTTTTCTTTTTAAAAGCATCATTTACCTCATTGTTCCTCGCTTACCAGGAAGGTGATTTGTTGTCTGTAATATTTACCTTTGCCCTTTTAAACAATGTAGTTCTAACCTTTCAAACAAGGCAGCAATTACCAATATTTTTGGATATGCATGCCTGCCAATGTTTCCAGAAGAGTTTCCAGATTTCAGAGGGTCATAACTCAAGTTGTAAAATATCTATGATATTCAGCTGAAATCTGTTTTAAATTTAATCACCATCTTTTTACATTATACAAAGTTTTGATTTTAAGAACATCTTTTTATTTCAGTTGCTATAGCTCCCACCACTAAAACAAAGGAAATAACAGAGTTCCAGAGCTGTGTATAAATGGTGTGATATGCTCTTAATCCTTCTGGATTAAATATCTTTTCATCACTAGAAACAAAACTGTGTTTCCTTAGAAGTAATATTCAAAAACTTAGCTGTCTTGGTAGTCCACTCTGTACTGCATCTGAAGAAGTGGGTTTATACCCACAAAAACTCATGAGAAAAAGAAAGCCAGTTGGTTGTGAAGATGTTGCCACATTTCTGTTTTTCCCTCTCATTTGTTTCACATAGGGCTTCATTCTAAATAACAGAGATATAATTCCTCAAAAAAGAGAATTCTCGAAGCAATGAGTGATTTGGCAACTTTATTCCCACTGTGAGAAAGCCAATCACATTTGGCTACCCATCGTGAATCAACTGTTGAGTACTGACCAATGTTCTGTAGAAACTGATGAGGCTTAGCAAAAACGAAACATTGCTGTTGATGCTTTATTGACACTCGTTGCCAAACATTTGCATTCTCTGTTGTGCTCCACCCATTTACATTCATAATTGCTCTGTTCAGTATTGAAGTGCATGCCACATACATTGATGGTGTGCATATTTGATCAAACAATACAATACAAACCAGAGTTGTGGTTTGTGAATTAAATTAGGAATTTTGGGAACCAGGATTTGAATTTCTGCCATGGAAACCTTTAGACTAAGTTGCACTCTCTAAGCTTAAAAAAGGCAATGGCAAATAAACCATCCAAAAACAACAACAACCCGTTAATACGTTCACCTTAGGTTTGCTGTATGTTAGAAATGACTTGAGGACATGTAACAGCAACAAGAACAATATCATATAATATTTTGTAAAACAAGGTGGAATATTAATCAATGGATTAATTTTGGTATTTTTATTCCATTTTATTGTGCATCACTGAGCAATTCTTGAGAGAAATGTGGAATATAAATGAATAAATGAATAAAAGATCTTCTTTTCTGTCCATGTTTGAAAAACTCTATCAGATCCTCCATAAGTTTTTTTTCACTAGAAATAAGTATATTGTTGTTTTTGTTTTGAAACTAGATCAGGTGTATGGATAGAATAGCAAATCCCTCTGGATTAACCTTTCTGTCTATGAAAAGTCTTTATATATTTTCTTTGTTCCACAAGAACATTGATATATCTAATACATCATCCTATTCATGTTTACTTGGATGTAAATCCCATTGAGCTCAATGGGACTTGCCCTCATATAAGTATTTGTTCATGAGCATATCCACTGTGATGAAAACTGCAATTTAAAAGTAAAAAATTTGCTTATTAGGCAAATTCAACTATATTTACAGTGTTTCTGAAAATGTTACCACCAATTTTTGTTCACTGCTTTTATTTCTGCTTCCTGCAAAAAGACTCAAAAGGTTATTGGGTACCACAGAGTTTAAAATGATGTGTCTTGCTTATGCTGCTTCCATATGGGCCATTATTATAGGATTTTGACTGGAACCATATGATTATAGTCTTAGGTTGTCATGCAAATAGACTCATTTTGTTCCATTTCCCATTTCCTTCACTGTCCTTGTCAATAGGATGGATAAATCTCACACCTTATTCTGCCTCTGATAGAGTTGTAGGGCTGTCATCACAGTGGATTAATCTTGTGTCAGTGTTATCACAGAATTCTTTCTCCTAACAATGACTTATCATTGAATTTAAAACCTAATATTCTTTATATGCAATCTATAGCTTTAATTCTGTGACAAAAACTGTAATAAGAGCTAAAAATGGCACACAACCAATCTGTTCTTATCAGAATATTTAAATTGTAATTTCATGGTCTTCCCTGAATATCTCATATAACTGAGGAATAATAGGAGGGAGGGGGATAACATATTAGAAACTTCAGTTCTAAATGTCATTCTCAGGGTACTGTTTGCTCATCAAACGGAAAGTTAGAGTTGATGAAAACTAACACTATTAATACTTTTGGAAATTGTCCTGCTCACTTTTGTGGCAACTGAAGTTGGGATTCAATCAGTTCATGAAATGTCTATAGTATGGCCTTCGTTCTTACAGAGTAATGGAATGAATGTGTAGGAAATGGAATGGTGTACTAAACCTAATAAGTAACTGACCACCTCCTGTCCGATAACCTGCAAACATCTAAGCCATTACCTAGAAAATGTTTCCCACACTTGTTCAGCTACAGCTCACTACACCCAATGCAAATCTTTCTAGAATTGTAGTTAATCAAGATCTGGAAAGCCATATTTGGGAACCACCATGACACAAATGTAGCCTAAATAAATTCATACTCTGACCTTCAGAGATGTGGTAGTGCTAATCTGAAAAATCAGAGGGATTTCATAACACTTTTGAGACAGAAGTTGTAACATAGTTTTTTGTAGACTTAAGTCTCCAGCATATGACACAACTTCTTTCTTTCAGTTACTACTAGATCTCTTTGCATAATGATGCTCTGACCTTGTCATTCACCAGCAACTAGTGCTGAAAGGGCAGTGTTAATATGTCAAACAAGATCACAACCTAATATAATCCTACATTCCAATCCAAAACTAGTGTAATCCTACACTTTTCTTTCATTATTCAACAATCCAGGAAATGTATGGATTATGCACATTTTTCTTTTTGTAATCAGATCTTGGAACATCATCTTCAAAAGGATGAACAGAATAATCCATATCTAGCTACAATGAGCTTCAAAATATGGAGAGGCAAGTATTTCATTTTCCATTCTCTATAGATAGGGATACAAGATTTTTCCCCAAATCCCCATTCTTTTAATGTCCAGAAAAGTAAGAATTTGAGCTCTAAAAATGCATATGGAACAAACTGATTCCCTCCTGATTTCTGGAACTTTAAATATGTAATTCTAAATGTTTGGATTTGAATCCATGACTTATGAACCTTCTTGATATACAAGCCTTGAAAGCAGAAATAAAAGTCTTTGAGATGAAGATCTGCAAAGACTGATAGTAAACATTCACGTGTCCAGAAGCATATGATGTGCAAACATCTCTGTGTGTCATCTGTACAATAAATAAAGGCCATATGGGATGTAAGACCTGGCTGATAGGACAATTGCTTTATTAATGGATATATTTTGCCACCTGCCTGCCTGCCTTTCAAAAATGGTCTCACCATTTTAGGTCTGGTATATCATATTAACTTGTTTTGATTCAAAATGTGGACTTTTTACTCAAGTTGACTTCATGCAGATTCGGTGATCTTCCTTTTGGGACTGTCCTGCTTCTGTGACCTCACAAGGATGCATACCTGATCTTAGCTAGCTGTAGCCTAGTGTATATTGGAATTCACCACTGCAAATGAAACAGAGTTGTGTTTAAGTTTGGTTTTTTTGAAGAATTTTGCAAATTCACTAGTTTCTTTATACTAGAAAGAGAAAATTTGAGGTTTACAAAATAAGAAAATTAGGAGAAAGAAAAACTTATAGATCTTTTTTTTTTTTTGGAACAGTCCAAAGCATAAAAAATTGCTCTGTCCAACCCATTACAGTAAGCGTTATGTCAATTAGTAACAAGTGCCTTTGAGAAAATCTGTTTAATGTTAGGCTATAAATGTCATTACTGATTAACTGTGTAATCCTAACTCAGCATGAGGGCCAGCAGCCAGCTGAGGCAACATTAGGCTGGCTGAAGCTATGCTGAATTCAAAATTCAGTCCTCCTAGGGTTGATGTGTGTCTCTGGCTGGTGGATTGGGACCCAGGAATTTTATTTTGGAGGAGGCCCCATTGCTTTCCATGTGTTGGTAATGACTTAGGACAACTCCAACTTTGACCTAAGTATTTTCTACTGTACCACTGTGGTGCAGCGGATTAAACCACTGAGCTGCTGAACTTGCTGACTGAAAGGTTGGTGGTTTGAATCCAGGTAGCGGGGTGAGTTCCCACTATTAGCCCCAGCTTCTGCCAACCTGGCAGTTTGAAAACATACAAATGTGAATAGATCAATAAGTACTGCTCATGCAGGAAAGTAACGGTGCTCCATGCAGTCATGCTGGCCACATGACCTTGGAGGTGTCTATGGACAACGCTGGCCCTTCGGCTTCGAAATGGAGATAAGTACCACCTCTCCGAGTCAGACATGACTAGATTTAATGTCAAGGGAAACCTTTACCTTTACCTTCCATTGTGTTGGTACAGTGGATAGTCAGTTGCCTACGGGAATTCAAATAGCAAATATTTTGTCTTTACTAGCAACTATTATACAGAGGCAGCTATACAATTTACAAAATAGGTTTATATTTAAATACCCAGCCTGCTTCTATTAAAAGTTATGACTAACAATTTAGGTCCCATTTAAGAGAATAGCAATTATAGATTAAATCAATTAAATAATCAATAAATGATATCTACCTTTAATCTATTTATTCATTATTGCTATACTCTTAGAACATCACAATGTATGACTGAGTCTTATAAAGTGATTTTACTTTGGATAATACTGAAAAAAATACAGAGGCAAACATGTATATCTGTGTTGATTAGTAGCTGTTGATTGTCCAATATCCCATGAACTTGGAGGGCTGGGCTGTGGAGCACCTAGATAGTAGCCAGCTACATTAAATCACTACTGACTGAGAGATCATGAGTTTGAAGTCAGCCCCGGTCAAAGTGAGCTCCCGACCATTAATAGTCTAGTTTGCTGTTGACCTATGCAGCCTGAAAGACAGTTGCATCTGTCAAGTAGGAAATTTAGGTACCGATTTATGTGAGGAGGCTAATTTAACTAATTTATGACACCATAAAACCTTCCAGCAGCGTGACTAAGAATGAGGAAGTACTCCATCAAGGACTCAGTGTCACAAGTGGACGGTGAAGCAGCAGCTTCCCCTGTGTCCAGAATCGAACATACCCTCATGAAGCCGGAAAGTCGGAATGTTAAATTGCTTCTGTGTCTATAAATGTTGTATGTCTAATGACACTGAATGTTTGACATGTATATGCGCATTGTAATCCACCCTGAGTTGGTGAGAAGGGCAGAATATAAATACTGTAAATAAATAAATAAATAAAACTTATCGAAACCCCTTTAAATCATGAGAATTGAGCCTACTGTTCCAAATGTGGTGGGGCCATCTGCATTTAATTTTAATCCCCTTTCCAATTATGCCTAATACAGAATTTGCCATTTTTGTAGTAGCCACACATTAGGTAGAAACAGGTTTCTTAGTGTAGATCTTTTCAAATGACACTAAAAAGAGTAGTGAATCAGAAAGTACATTTGTACATTTGTAGTAGTCATATTAATATTTCAGAATTTTTTTAAAAAACAAAATAAAACAAATTCTTGCTCTGCCAGAGATCTGAATATAGTTTTATATCAAGTCTGTTCCTGGAATTAATTGAAATGTATACATTTATAATGATCAGAAGCTACAAGTTCTTCTTTAAGACATTTACATTAGAAATGAATGATTAGAATCAAAAGTTAATTGCTATTCAAATGTTCTACCTTTTTAATGAGCATCAAGATTGGCTTATCCTCAAGACAAAGAGTTTATAGTTGGATTTGGATACTCTCCTGATAACTTTTTCTTTCATTTTAGGTTGGCAAGGTTTGCTCAAGTTTCAGAAAAATGACCAAAATGTCAAAAGTCCTTAAGATTTCAAAACAAGTCTGTTAAGTTGCCTGCTGCACTCAAGAAAGTAATGAAGCTCACACTGATACATGAAAGAAGTCAAAGAGAAACTCAGAGGGGAAATGAATACACTACCAATCAGGCTTCTCCAAATGTGTGACTGGAAATCTCTTCTATAATGGATGTTCAATCTTTCTAGAGCACAAGTCCTTTGTATGCAGGCTTTGAAATTTGATAGACAGAGCTCATTGGTTTTAAGGATGGGGCTGTTGTGCTCTGCAGAAAAACTGCATGCATGACAACTATTGACAGAAACATGACACTGATTTTGCAGCACAAACAACATGAATATGCAATATTTAATGATGTATGTAAATGAACAAGCAGATGGTGAGCAAATAAAAATAGCCTGCATGGCTTGATATTGGGGAGCAAAAAGTATTTTTTTAAAGAAACAAGACACAATTGGGCTGTCTGGGAGCAACATGGTTGAATTACTACATGAAGTAGGAATAAAATTTTGGAGAAGTATGCTAAAAAGGCTAAGAAGTCTCAAATATCAAAAGAATAATATCACCTACGCATTTCGAATGCATGTATGCAAAAGGGTGGGAAGGTGATGCCATCCTCTGTATGCCCTATACTCACTAACTGCTAATTTGCAGACTTCTTTACTTTTTGTTACCCAATCTTTTCATGTGTCTCTAACCTGAAGCATTTTTTCCTTCTCTTGCCTTACACCATGTCCTTTGACTATGCATGAATATGTGCACTGTATATACATTAGTCTGTTTCTGTTGTCTGTGTTTGTTAGAGCGGATGTGGACTTGTTGTTCAGCTTCTACCTTCACAATTTGATCGATCACTCTGCTCATGAGAAAATTGCTCTCTCACACACATTTCATGGCAAATTCTTCAGTCATTTGACTCCATGCAGCAGTGGCCATGGAAGGTCAGGTCCACTTTATTTTCTGGCTGCAGTTTTCAAGTAGATTTGGCTATATTCTCAATATTTTACTTCAGAAATTGGTACTATTCTATAAAGAATCTTTTCTATTCATCTTATTTTTCCATGTCAAACTTGAAATAATAATTTTGGTACTATGTTTTGAATTTCCTCACAACTTGGAACTGTCATGATTTGTACATAAATCCACACCAACTTCTATGAGAGCTAGAGCCAGGAGAAGTGATCGGGAAGCTAATGTTAAGTAACATTGCCAAATATCTGTGGAAAATTAGGTGTCTGGGATGGTGGGGATATCATGAGAGAAGTAGCTCAGGATTTCACAGGATTTAGTCATGACAGTTAAAATGGTATCAAAGTGTCACAGTTGTGTAGCATGAAGGAGACCTGGGAATCTCCAGATCTAACTAACTTGTGGGGAATCTGTTTTGTATCTTGGAGATTCACACTAGATATAAAGTGCCAACAGCAGCTTTGCTATCATGTGTTTTGTGTGTGTGCAAAAATCCAAACAGAATTTCACAGTGCATTAGCATTAAATAATCCATGAACTAAGAGAATAGATCTTTGGTTTACGCATAGAGTTAAAAATGTGTATAGGTCCTGAATGCAGTTCTGGAATAGCCCAGTTGTTTCACCAGACTGTGCATTTCTTATTCCACAGGTGAATCTGTATTCTGCATCCTAAAAGAGATGGAAATGTGTGTCCATATCAAAATATTGCATATGGCAGGAGCAATTTGCAGTGCTCCTTTAACGTGTAGTCCTTTATCTCCAGAGAATAGGGGTTGGTGGGACACTTTGTTACCTATGTATTCATTTGTTTAGGCATACATTAATTCTACTACTTAACATTTATATTGCACAGAAATGTGATAATCTGCCTTATCTTGGGGAAATAACTGTGACAAACAAAACTTTTCTTTACAAATTTTTATCTGTGTCAGACATGAAGTAAGTGAATGCATGGAATATGCTGTGAAGGGAAGAAAAAGAAGTAAAATAAAATGGAAATAAATGGAAGTGGCTAAAGAGTATAGTCTTCTCACAGCATTCCATTTCCATGCTATCCAAAATTGTTGCTTGCCACAGAAAGAGACAGATATTAATTCCTGTGCAACAGTCATGAGTTTTTATA